TGGAACTCGGAGGAATCGGTCGAAGCCACCTCTAACTTGGACTTCAACACGGTATAATCCTGGTCGAGGTCGTCTCGTTCCGAAATGGTCGAATCCAGTTGTGCTCCGAGCTCATCATTCAACCGAGACCACTTGTCGGCCTTATCCTTCATCACCCTGAGCTGGTCCTTAACCGATGCCAACTCCTCTTTGGTAGCCTCCTTTTCTGCGGCCAGAAGGTCCATGCTGCTCCTCAATGTCTTGGCCGAAGCTTTGAGCTCGTTCATCTCGGCTCGGAGCTGGTCGATCAGGTCTATCTTCTATTGGAACAGCGAGGTTGCTGCGTTAGCTACTACGCTTAACCTCTCGTTTTTAATCTCAAATATCCTTACCTTCTCGACCAGTACAACATGCTCCCATTTCACCTACAAGGCCTCATTTTGAGCATTTTCTAGCTCAGCTTGGAGAATAGGGAGGCCCTTGAGGTCCCCGTCTCTTTGCTCGCTGAGAGCCTTGTACATATCCTTCTGCCGGACCTGCTCCTTGAGCTCGAACTCGAGCTGACTCACTTCAATACGAGACCGATGGAAGCTTTCATGATGAAGCACCGAGGCCTGAAAAACAAATTGATGAGATGATGAAGATACGCTAAGGTTAAATGAGTTACACGAATGACACAAAGAAAGAGAAGCATACATGGTTCAACGCCTGTTATGCCTCGTTGAAGAGGCTCGATGCACTCACTTCGTTCATCTTCGCCCGATCCTCTTTGGTCACCAAGCAGCGAAGATAGCTGGCCACACCACAGGTCCAAATAGCACCCGGGTATCTGTCGGGATCATAAACACGACCATTATTTTGTGGTCGGGATGCGCCATTCGCACTCTAAGTACGATAGCTGTTTGCAGATCCCCTCGACCCACACTTTGAAGCGGGGAACTGCGTTGGGGACTCGGGCAACCGGTGCACGATGGTAAATAAAGAACAAAAGTCCAAAAGAAATTTTAAATACTCAAAAAGGAGAGGAACTTACAGGCTAGGTTCCATTTTTCAGGGAACGACAGGAACTCGGGGGGAATAAGATTCTCGGTTTTCACCCGAACGAATCTCCCCTGCAAGCCTCGATCCCTATCTTCATCAATGCTCGAGAATGAAGCTTTCTTTGCCCGACAATCGCGCTTGATTAATCCCTCTTGGAAGATTCGGGGACTGTAGAGATGAAGCAGATGGTCAATGGTAAATCGAGGTGCCTCAGTGTTATTGACAAAGTGGAGGAGGAGGATCGCGATCCTCCAAAAGGACGAATGAATCTACCCAAAAGACTTCGTACTTTTTGCAGAAATCGAGGATTGTGGTATCCACCCGGCCAAGTGTGAAGGGGTATGCATAAACACTTAGATACCCTTCCACGTGTGTGGTGATGTCCTCATCAGGATCAGGGATGACCACTTCTTTGCCCTCCCACTTGCAGTCCTCCCGAACCGTAGGGAGCATGTCCTTCGTGATGGAGCATATGTACCTCCACATCTCCTCGCCTCGATCCCCTTGCGTGAAAGCCTTTTCGACCTTGAAGTCATTTTTTATGGAGAAACCTCCGGGGATGAAATTATTTAGAGGAGGTTCAAGTGCCACTTCCGGTACGGCCACAACAGCATTTGTGGCTGGGTTAGAAGTTGAATGGACGGTCTGTTGGGGCATAGATTTCGAAGGCTTCGCTATTGAGTTCTGGAAAATATGAATGTATGAAGGCGGGGTATGAAGATTTGAAGGTCGAACTTAATGGTTCAAGGATGAAGTAAGAAGATTTGAAGATGGGATGATGAAGATATGAGGATATGAAGAACAATGTACGAAGATTTGAAGGGGTAAAAAGCAAGCGAAAAGTTCGGGAGTAAATTAAGAAGTTCTGGAATCGGAAAGTAAAAAGTGAAAAAAAGACTGAAGCTTTTATAGAGAAGAGGTAATTAATGCGTGATGTTTCGCATTCGAGGACGGTCAACCGGCGGCAGACACGTGTCCGAAGTCAGAACGATTCGATTGATTGAACGTTTCACTAACCCGTCGACCTTATTATACATATGGAAGAAGGAACCGGGGTCAATCAATCACTTCTCGTCGCTTCGATAAATCTGCTCTTCGAAAAGTGACGAGATTATGTGTGCATGGGTAAAATCAAAGATAATGTTACCCCCGATTCCCTAGTAAAGAAACGAGAGGGAAGCATGATCTGACGTAACCTCAAGCGAAGCCGAAGGGTCCCTCGTCTCGGAGCTCGGGGGAATGGACTGTGCATCTAGGATCGGGCACATCTAAACAACGGATCCGAACCGAGTAAAGTTTCGAGACCAAGGAAAAAGAGAAACATTTGAGCGTGACGAGAAGGGAGCCGTAATATTCGCCCTCAACCTGATATTATGATGCAAATCCCATCTGATATCAACTGTAGATCGACATTTACCCAGAAAAAAGATTTTTACCTTATTTAGACTTGTACTAGGATTGAAATTCCCCTACTATATAAAGGGCAGAACTTTTTTTATTTTAAACCATTATTGACACGCGCATCAAAGCAATAAAAGTTCTTTTTTATCTTCTAACTATTATTCAAAGTGTTCGTTAGTTGCTCTCTTCTTTAACTTCAACCGAGCTTATATCGAGGGCTCGATTAGAGCCAGTTTTCTGTATTCAACTTAAAATCAGGCTTGATTGTTTCATCGCGATTGGTTTGATCGTTTATTCTCTCTCTAATTTAATTATTCGTCGTTCTTAGATCATTCATATTAAATTAAATCATGTATCCCTTAAACCGCATACAAATTTAATTGTTCCTCATTTTTAAGGGTAACAAAACTGATAAGCTTGAAGTGCTGAAAAGCATTTTTAAGTGCTGAAACTGATATTTTTAATAAGCATTTACGTGTTTGGACGGACGTGTTGAAACTGATAATAAGCAGTTGATGTGTTTGGTAGAATAGTACTAATAAGCTATTCTTTTGTTAAAATGATTAAAATATCCTCAAAACTTTACAAAACATTATAAATTAAAAAAATTCTTTTTAAAGAAAAGGATGAAAACGAATACGGAATGAAGAGAAAGTTAGAAAATTTATTTTGGAATAAATATTTTGTGAATTAAAAAATATTATTTAGGATAAACTAGTAAATGCCTTGGTCAAACTAAAAGTGCTTATAAGATAAAAGTACTTATGGATTATTTTAGCTTATAAGCACTTGACTTATAAGGATTTGGATATTTATCAAACACGTAAATAAGTTAAAATGTGCTTATAAGTCAGTTTGACCAGCTTATAAGCTTAGCCAAATACCCTCTTAGTTTTTTTTTCTTCTTTTAAAAGAATAGTTTAAATGCAAGCATATATGATATAACCGAGTTGAACAATTAGAATTTGTGTGACATAAGAAAATATGGACAAATACATGAAACTCTTTATAGACATGAGTTTGGGCTACCGGGAGAGGAGAGACTATTTTCATGGGAGAGGAACGAGCAAGTGACAGATTAAAAGCCTGTTTGGCCAAGATTTTGTCAGGAAAAGTATTTTTTTTAAAATTTTAGGTGTTTGGCCGATATTGAGAATTACTTTTTTTGTTGCTTTTGGAAAGAAACTACAAATTTTAGCTTCATCCAAGAAGTAGAAAATTAATATTTTCAAGACAAAAATATGCTTATTGTAAATTTTTATTTCCTAAATTATCTTCATTAATTTAAATTTTTTCTTTTCCTTTTTCTTTTTATGTTTCTACCATCCTTTATTCTCTTTTTTATTTAGTGTATTTATATTTTCCTTCTCCTATCCTCTTTGGAATAGTCTCTCTACTATAAATATTTTTTTTTTAATTCTGTCGTTTCTTCTTTTCTTCCTCTCCCATACTTCTTTGAAATAAAGTACAATGCTAATTACCAGATTCAAATACTCTCTTCACAATATATAATTTATTTTTTCTTTTTTGTAGTATACCAATATTATATGATCTCCAGTTTTTAGTTTCATTTTTATTTTTTTGTGGCGTGCATGCATATATCATAGTTGAAGAATGTATATTTCTTAATAATAGATAATATTTTTTTAATATTTATTTAAATAAATATAAAAAATAACTAAATTCTTTTACAATAAATATTTGCATTTATTTCTCTCTTTTAAATAATAGGAGTATTAATTATAAATTGAATATTGATAATGTTCTTTTTTATAATTTGACACCCAAAAGTACTTTTTGGAAGGATTGGCCAACCACAATTTTTTTATCAAATATTGCAAAAGTCGCTTCTCAAATGAATGGCCAAACACAAACGGCTACTCTCCACAAGTGACTTTTAAACAAAAATACTTCTCAAAATAAGCAGTTTTTGGAAGCTTGGCCAAAAAGGCTCGAAGAAAAAAGTAAGTAAACCTTCTGACAGTCATTTAGAGGCTTTGTTAGAGATTTATCATTCTTCCCTAAGCTCGTTAGAGATCTATCATTCTTCCCTAAGCTGTGGCGGTCATTTAGGGGCCTTGTTAGAGACTCATCATTCTTCCCTAAGTTGTTAGAGCCTTGTTAGAGACTCATCATTCTTCCCTAAGTTGTTAGAGTCTAGGTAGAAAAATCCTCGCTCATAAATGTAAATTGGAAAAGTATTCATACCTAATATTTACACTAAATTATATTAGTATACTATGATTAGTAAATTGAGGTGTGAATATGTATTAATATTCATAGTACCTGCTATATCACAATTGGAGCTTGTTAGTCTTACTCTAGCTTCTTTTAGTTAATTATAGTGTGAGATTGTGAGTAACATTCGTGAAAAAGTCCCACCATGTTAAATCTAATTAACAATTGGTTCTCAAATATTTAGGCCTCTCAAAGATAATAAGTCCTTATCTTGAAGCCATTAAGTCCATAGAAACCACTCCAACAACAAGTCGGGATCAGCAATACGAATTCCCACGGACCATGTTCTCACGGAGACCTCTACCAAAAGAAAATATTGAAGATAGTCCCAACAAACAAAAGATGAAGTACCTAACCATCTATTCATCTACTTTAGTTTTTACATTAGAGAACTGCATCATCAGCCTTCAATTGGGCTTTGCCTTCTACCACTTACCAATTATGTTAACCTAGAACTCCCATTTCTGTACATGAACTTTTATCCTGACTACTCACCATACCACAAAACCTACCAGTGGAGAATAAAACAATTAAAGTAAATTAAGCACCTAACTAAAAGGATAGCCATCTCTTCTATATGTATCAAACAAATAGATATTCAGAGGAACAAATTTTTGGTTCAGTCACATTGGAAGGTTAGGTAAAACTTCTCTTCGTTTCCAGTAGATCACCTTGAGACTCCTCAACTGCATTTCTTCTCATTTCTATGACTTTCATGTGAGAGTTTGAATGCAAAGATGGAACAAATGTGGGACTAGCAGCAGGCCGATACTCTGGGAGTAGTCGGCCAGAACGATATCGAACTCCACAGGCATTGCATAGTGTCTTTGGACCCAATGGTCCCTCCCTCCATTGTGGTGTCTTTGTTACTTCACAATGTGTGCACTTTTTAAATAAAATAGACTCCATGACACTAGATTGCTGTGACAATTTTCTCCTCTTCTTTTCCTTTCCCTTTTTGGCATCAGAAGTCTTCTTGGCTGCAAAAGCTGTACAAGCCATCAAAATCCATGGATTCAAAGTTGATGCTCGTGCACGCTTAGAGCGACGGCCTTTAGTGCCAAATTTGAAGGATGTACTCTTTCCACCAGAGCAGGAGCTGTTGTGTTCAAGAACAGAAATTGGGCTTTGTGTCTGGAATAGAACAGTCCCTTGGGCCTCAGGAAATTCATTCTGATAGAATAGCATCGAGTTAGAAATTTCGTCGGCATAAGCAAAAGCTTTTTCTGCCCAGGAATGCTACTTCTCTAAGAGTTGACTACAAGATTTCAACAAAAAGAAAACGAGAGACAAAAGACCTAAGGAAGTTTGAGAGTTCAGTTTTCAATACTTTCTCATATAGCATTGATAATATAGGTGACAAACAACAAGCCAACCAAATGTGCCACAGGTCACTAAAAAGTTTTGAACACGTTGTGATGGTTTGCATGTCCATATAAGCATTTCAACAATGAAGAGAAAAAATTTGAAATTGAACAACTGCATAATACTAAGGTTAAAGAAGAGCTTCGTGATCATTAGGTCGGGGATTGTGATTAATTCCAAAACTTCAGACCTAGAGATACACTTAAGACCAGCAAGAAGATAAGAGGGAGAGAGAATTAGACACCAACAGGTCAACACGCAAAACTCACCAAGCTACATAATCAGTCTACTTTCACTAAAAAAGCAGGGATGACTATTATAGAATATTATATATCATTCAGCAAGATATTAAACTCAACATTTAAAACCTCTACGTGTGGGAAACAATTTCAAGTCCATTTTCCTCCTATAATGCTAAAGCACTACAATTTATGAAAATGAAACAAATTTAGTGTCATCACAACTACGATAGGACTGATTTACCAACTACGATAGGACTCTCACAACTACGATAGGACTGATTTCGCTATCAAGTAAGGACATAATACCAAGATTGCATGGCTGTTGTTTAGCTTTGGATTTCCAGGAAAGAATGCCATTACCTCCATTTGTATCAAAAATTGAAATATTGTGGAGGCTGAGTGGGAGCCATTAAGGTAAAGGACATGTGCAAGTAAGCTAACATCACTTGTCAAGAGGCAGGGATCATAGAACATATATTTATGAAAGTTTCAAGCTTTAATACTCTGTCCTTTTGTTGTAGTTTTAGTCTTCTACATTTTTCTTTTTCTGGTTTAGTCTTCTACATTCAAACACCAAAAAGATAGAAAGATGAGCCTGGTAAAGCAAACTCTCCCTTATTATTTAGCTTAGTTAAAATAAAAGCAATATTTTTCCGGTTTAGTCTTTTAAATTCAAAAACAAAAAAGATAGAAAGAAAATAAACTCTTTTAGGGACGGGTAAAGCAACTCCCCCTTCTTACTTAGCAAAAATCAAATCAAATTGTTCTATTAGAGAAAGGGATGCTTCCCTATAGCAAAGTGTATAGCAAAACACATATTTGAAAACCAAAGAAAGAATTAATAACTAATTAATAAAAAAAAGAGCATATATGAGTTAAAACTCACAGCTGCATTCAAACAGCCATTGGCATTATCGCCACGGGACACTGGAGGTAACGCCATAAGTGCATCCGGAGGGATTGGCCCGAGTAATTGGTAGAGGCTAGGATCCCAATCTTCCAAACTTTCCAAGGGGAAGTCCAAACTATTGAGTAAGCTTTCAAAGTCTTCATCAACAATAGGCCCCATGGGAATGCCATCCCAACAATTTTGTTCAACCATATTAATATTCTGAGATATACCCAAGAAGAATTAGAACTATATACCATGACAAAAGATACTCATACCCACACCAATATTGTAAACAAGAATAGGTCAAAGCAAATGGAAAACGCGTTACGTAGCCATTATGTAATGGAGCCAAAATTTTCACCAAGGGAATTCAAAATATAAATAAGTAAATACACCAAGAACCGAGGAGATTCAACATTTATTATATATAAATAAAAAATAATTTTGACCTTGTATATACAGTATAACTATACAATGGTTCCGCTGGAACAAGGACTCAAGCACATCATTCATACACATAAGTCATAACCCATGCATGTATATATCTCACCTTTTCCTTGACTATCTCTGTCACTGGTTTAGTATTGGACGAAAACCTAAGACTGCTAAGTTCAAATTAAAGAAAAGGAAAAGTTAGTGCTATATACAGCGTAGGTTTATTATGTTACCGTAATCAAATATTATACGAATACGTGTATTATGCGTATGCAAAACCTAGTAGGTAAGTTAGAAAGTCACTAGTACTATACTTAATTTACGCGTATTTTGCCATGGTATATTTGTCCTACCAAAAGTAGGAGTCTACTTAGATTCGAAGTATCAGAGAATCTTCTCATTTATCCTCAAAATTTACCAAAAACAAAAACGATAGGCGAAAGGTAAATACTTACAACTCATTATATTATTAATTAATGAAATTTTCCAAGGTAATTCCTAGCACATAAAGTAGGTGCTGTAACAGAAAGAAAATCTTTGTTCGGAACAATAATTCTGACAAAATCGTGAAGATATAATAAAAAACCACGATAATATATTCTTTCCCAAAACATTGCCCTAGGAAATATTGCCAAATTTAGCTTTAGAAATGTTTTCTAGAAAATATATATATGTACGGCCAGTTATAAAAACAAAATTGTTTTCTAAAAAGTTAAATATAATTTTTGGGAAAAAAAAATGAATGCTCCTACTTGTTATGTCAGATCAAACTCAAACAAAAAATGTTAATTTACCAAAATATAAATCACAAATTTTTAGATGTTATCACATTAATCCTTATTTTATTAAATTATTCTCCTTTCATTTTTGTACCTTTTTTGCATCCATTTTATTATGTCCAAAATTTCTCTATAATATATAACTTTCATCTTCTATTTTCAATACGTGAAATTATATTTAATATTTTACTATTTTTATTCATTTATTTTTACAAACATTAATTACTAGTCTGAAGCATACGTATTAGTTTGAAATATTTTGCAAAGTAACGGTTGCCATAAAAACAGGAAGACCATGTTCGAACCTTAGTTTAGCAATGATTCGTTATAAAGGAAACCCAATTGTTTTCTCAAAACTTTTCCTCTAGAATTTTTTTTTCTAAAAAGAAATTCCCAAAAAGGAGAAAAACCTCTAACAAAAATCAGAGACCCAAAACATCAAACTTGCCACTTCGACCAAACAGAGAGCCAGAGACCCAATCAGTAAAAATTAGCACCAATTTCCTCAGCCCCCTAACAGAATTATGCAGATGAACAATTCAGGCTAAAAATGTAACAAAAACAGGTGACAAAGTTGGAACCTTTTACAGACATCGGTATATATGTAAAGAGAAAACTCAGAAAAGGGAGGCTTTTTTTGCATGTCCAAAAATGTATACTTACCATGGAACAAAAACCCCTTAAACCCTTGAGCATGCCACTGCACTTTCTGGAGATTTTGCAGAGAAAAGGAAAACGAAAAGATAGGGTAAGAAGATAAATAGAGGGAACAGCTTTTACTTTTGTTTCCTGAAATCTGTGTCTTGGATTGTACTTTTCGGTGAAATAATAAATGGGTAGAGAAAACGTTACATCTCATAGGATGAAGAGGAGGAACATGGGAAGTTAAAATGGTCGGCGGAGCATGTGATATTTTTGGAGGGAGCGACAATTGTTCTCATGAATTTCTTGAGGTGTGGGCCCAAAGGAGGTGCTAATGTTATCTGATTGCTGAACTGGAGACGGGGGCCAAAGGAGGTACATTTACGCAAAATATTCTTGTTCGGAATAAAACAAGTCTTGCCTATGGTTAGTATAACATGGAATTTCACAAGATAATGTGTACCCCTGCTTCATTCAGAGGAGTAAAAAGGATGTTTCCAATATAGTTAGTGTAAAAATTAAATGCTTGAAACTATGTAAAATTGTGCTTAACAAAACTCACATGTAAACTAATGATTTTTTTCTTTTTACTGAGTTGGTCTCAAAGATAAACTAAACACCATTTGTTTGCAGTAACTTTTTCATTTCAATGCTGTGTAGATATGTGAAGGGCACGACCACCAAAGGATGAGGGGTCATGTTTACCCGTAAAACGATACAGTTGAATTTATAACGTGATTTAAAGACAAATGAATCGATTTGATCCCAAAATGATAAATAAATTAAATAAAATGCAAAACTTAGCGTTGAAATCGAAATAAGGCATCAAATAACTTAGTTCCGGGAAGAGAGCTTCTGAAGGCAGTAATACAAATGCCAATCGACAAGAAATAAAGTATTATTGAGCTTTTGAATAGTATATAACATAAGTGTATCACAAAATTTGTTCCCTTACGTACAATGACTGTTGAAATCACTATTTATAGTTGCACCTAGGGAACAAGGTCCTAAGATCAAGCCCCTTTTAAATGACAATTATGGGGGTCATTAAAGAATGTGTAACGATAGGCTATGAATGCCAAAATTCTCTATAACGGACTGTGTATTTAATATTACAGAATATTCTTCATTGAATGTTATCGGGTGGCACACATTTGTTTGTCTTCATTAGCAATATTCCTTTCGGGGGCTTCCCGGTGCCAACCGAAGCTTCTACCCCGGTCTTGGTTTTCACCTATCTCGTTTTTCGTCTGTCTCTGGTTCCATGTGTTGCTCTATTATACGAGTATTTAATATGAACCGATAGCAAGCTTTATTTCCCGTTAAGAACTTTTCTATCGAGCAAAAGATTATCTAACCGTCCCATAGTGGTTCATTGTTTCCATGCCTTATCGTTTAAAGGTCTTATCTCTGCTCATGGTGCTTCCTTCGTAGAATGATTTCCGTTGCTACCTCGTTAAAAACCTGCCAGAAAAATCCAATTGGGACAAAACTGGACGAAGGAAAAAAGAGTGCAGCACATACTTTTAGTATAGGCGGTACTTATCATTAATAATATCTTTTGAGGTGTGCCACATTTCAGTTGCTCGGTAATTTTACTCCGTTGTGATTTTTCAGTTCATATGATCCTTTTCCGGTGACAGCTGAAACCCGATAGGGGCCTTCCCACGTCGGACCCAGCTTCCTTGTGTTGAGCTCTCGGGTGTTTGGAGTCACTTTCCTTAAAACCAAATCTCCCACTTTAAAATAACGGAGATTGGCTCTTCGATTATAGTATCTTTCTATTCTTTATTTCCGGGCCGCCATCCTTATATGCGCCAAGTCCCTGCGTTCGTCAAGCAGCTGCAATCTAACCAGCAACGCTTCGTTGTTTGCTTCTTAGTCCACCCGGAAGTATCTCGGGTAGGTTCTCCCACTTCCACCGGGATCAGGGCTTCTGCTCCGTATACAAGAGAGAAAAGTGTCTCTCCCGTGCTTGATTTGGTCGTTGTCCGGTATGCCCATAGCACTCCCGGTAACTCTTTGGGCCATTTGCCTTTGGCTGCTTCTAATCTCTTTTGAGATTTTGAATGATCACCTTATTTGTCGATTCTACTTGGCCGTTTGCACTCGGGTGGTACGGCGAAGATGTGATTCTTTTGATTTTCAAGTCTTCAAGGAATTTGGCGACCTTTGCATCTATAAATTGTGGCTTGTTGTCGCAGGCTATCTCCTTTGGTATCTCGAACCTGCAAATTATGTTCTCCCACAGGAAATCGACCACTTCATGCTCGCCGATTTTCTGGTAAGGACCTGCTTCAATCCAATTAGAGAAATAGTCAATTAAAATCAAAATAAATCTTACCTTACCGGGAGTCGGGCAGCGGATCGACTATGTCCATTCCCCATTTCATGAATATATAGGGCGACAATACCGAATGCAATAGTTCTGCTGGTTGATGAACCAATAGCGCGTGGCGTTGGCACTTGTCACATTTATAAACAAATGTCTAAGCGTCTTGTTTCATCCGGGGCCAGTAGTAACCTGCCCTAATTAGCTTTAATACCACCGAGTCTGTACCTGAGTGATTTCCACAAACTACTTCGTGAACTTCTCTCATGACGTAATTACCCTCGGAGGCTCCTAAACATCGAGCCAACGGGCCTTGGAAAGACTTTCTATACAATTGGCCTCCCCTGAAGTAGTAACGGGCTGCTTTAGTATGTAGCGCCCCAGATGCCTTGGGATTTTCGGGTAGTTTGTCGTGCTCAAGATAGTCAATGATCTAATTTCTCCAGTCCCAGAACAAATTGGTCGCATTTACTTCATAATAGTCGTCCACATCCAATACCAAATGGATAAGCTGCATGATCGTACCGGATTCTGATCCCTTCATTTTCGTGGACGAGCCCAGATTGGCCAGTGCGTCTGCTTCCGCATTTTCTTCTCCCGGGATGTGGGTGATTGACCATTCCTTGAACCGTGCGAGCAGAGTCTGGAATTTCACTACATATTATTGCATGCGTTCCTCTTTGGTATCAAAGATCCCATATACCTTATTTATTACCAATTGGGAATTGCACTTGATTTCTATGATCTCGGAGTCCAGTCCCCGGGCCAGCTCAAGTCCTGCAATCAAAGCATCTTACTCGGCTTCATTGTTAGTCAAGGGAACAATTTTTATAGCTTGCCTCGAGGTTTCTCCCGATGGCGTGATTAATATTACCCGAACCTGGACCCTTTCATGTTGGAAGCTCCGTCCGTAAACAAGGTCCAGACTCCCGATGTCGATTCTGATACCATCACCACTTCTTTGGTGGCCAAAGGCAGCAGTCCAGGACTGAAATCGGCCACAAAGTCTGCCAAAACTTGTGACTTGATCACATTCCTGGATTTACACTCTATGTCAAATTCACTCATTTCGGCTGCCCATTTGGCCAGCCGATCTGAAAGTTTAGGTTTGTGAAGGATATTTTGTAGGGGAAAGGTTGTCACCACGGCTATTAGGTGGCATTGAAAATAAGTCGTAAGCTTTCGAGCGACGATTACGAGAGCTAAGGCCAATTTTTTGAGGTGTGGGTAGCGAGTTTTCGCTCCCGTTAAAATTTTACTAACATAAGAAATTGGAGATGGCGTACCTTCGTCTTTATGGACTAAAACGGTACTTACCGCTACCTCCGAGACCGCTAAGTAAATTAGTAACTTTTTGCCTTCCTCCGGTTTAGATAATAACGGAGAGCTTAATAAATACCTTTTCAAATCTTTCAAAGCGTGCTGGCATTCCGTAGTCCATTCAAAGTTATTCTTCTTTTTCAGAAGTGAAAAGAAGTGATGGCATTTTCCTGAAGACCAGGAAATGAACCTGCTTAAAGCGGTCAGTCTCCTTGTGAACCTCTGAACCACTTTCGCATTTGATAGTTGATTCAAAATGTCCTCGATGGCTTTAATTTTATCGGGATTGACTTCGATCCCCCCTTTGTGACACCAAGAACCCCAAGAACTTACCGGAGCTGACTCCGAATGTAAACTTTTCGGTTTTAAGCTTCATG